CAGGCTTTATCAGAGCGACATTTTCTCAGCTAGCTCTATCAGTTGCTATTGCATCTAAAATTCATACCCTATCCTGCCCCTGAATTAATTTCATGTCTAAGCAAATCCCAAGTTAAATCCTGAAACTGGTGTATCCAGTATGCTTTACAAGATGCACTGGGAGATAGCAAGGCTGGAAGGTAAAAATTCCTCTCAGATCTTGTTTAGCAGAAGCTGGGGATTAGCAAACCAGTAATGAGAAACTGAGTACGCAAAGAGCAGAGTCAAACACCTCTGTTCCTCAAAAGGGATTCAGAGAAATACCTAAGGGTGTTTGGTACTTCTGGGTGTGCAGAATATGAACCAGTCTCTTGAAACTGGTCCAAGTAACATGAATTTTCTGTAGCCACACAGAGAAAACATCATCGCAAGTCCCCGTCAGACCCCTCAACCCATACGTGGGGCTGCCCTGGTACAACACCACATTTGCTTAATGAAATGGTTTCAGACTCCTCATCCCACTGGAAGCTGGTCAGAATTTCTCACAGGCCACCCTCGATGCTTACTGTCAAGCTTTTAATTAAACACATGTTAATGGCAACAGGCCACCCCACAGCCTTGCAGCTTACGCTTTGGAAATCACCACTTCGTGCCCAACAGAAGCAACGCCCACGTCTTTCCAGCTCTGCAGTTGGCTCAACATTTTTCAGTCTATGTAATTCAAACGGTAATCCGAGAGTCCCTGCAATTTAAATTGGATCATCACATCTTCATCAACATAGTAAGAATGTTTGAGTAGTTTTTGTAATTACTAGTAAACGTTGCCTGCTGTTTCAGGATACTTCATAATCTCAGTCACAGATTTTGATGCAATTTTCAAGGATTACATAATCCCAGTGAGCTGTGATATTATCTGCCTTGGATTTTTTGCCTTTAGCACATAAAGATAAAAGGAGAAATTACCTTACTACACGGAGTCCTCGTCTTTCATCTTGTGTTACACTAAATGGTAATTAATCAGGGCTTTTCCTGTAGCCATCCATGAGAAACAAAATCCCACACTCTGTTTAACTTGGAATCCAATACACAAACCCTACAAAATCCAGGTGACTGGCTGTTTTGTAGCTCCACATAAGAGTCTCCTCTGTACTTCAGATGCTGCAATAATGGCCAGGAGCTGAAAATGAACATTAAGATGAGTAAGTGATACATGGAAAACAAGTGCATAGAGATTAACAGCTCAACAGAACATTGGCTGAGATTCTCACAAACAACCCCAAAAGGCTGGCTCGCACATCAAGGGACTGTGGCCCAAAGCCTCACGTCAACCTCTCTCCTAAAAGGAAATGCCTGAGCTATTTTAAGCTCTGCAGCACCAGTAAACAGGCTTCAGCAGGTAATCTTTGCTGGCCTCTCTACTCCGAAATTGTTCCCTGGGTAAGGGCATGTGGGTCTGCATATACATGGCTCTCCTAAAAACTCCAGGAATGTGATGGAGCAGACTAATCATTACCATACAAAAAAAAAAAAAAAAAAAAAAAAAATTTGCCACAGGGTTACTGTCTGTGTGGGGTGCTGCTCTGCCATCACCTGCTTCACTGTCCTTTAGAGACAGATTTAGATGGATGTGGCTTATCCACGCACTAGGAAATATTACACAGGACAGCAGTGCTGGCCAGCCTTCGAGGAGCAGCATGCATCTGTACTGATAAAGTAACTGTGGCTGCAGATCACCTCCTGTAGCAAATTAGAAGGGCTACATTATAAAAGCTAAAATTTGGCGGGACAGGGAAAGACAGGTCCAAAAGAGGAGAATGAAGGGCATATAGGGTAGCACTGCTGCAGCACAGAAACAGAATGATTTAGAAAGCCTTTAACAGCGGAACATCTTTACATCACCTCTGAAACGTCACTCTGTCAGACGGGCACTTTTCAAGAAGAGGGGCATCATCTGAGCTGACCAGCTCCATCAGATGAAAACAAGCACTCTGCCTGCTTCCACTTCTCTGCTGCCTCTGAAACACTACCAGCACACGCAGGGAACGTTAATTTCCTTAAATTCAAAGTAACTGAAGGTTAGGACGCCGTTAACAGCGCAGTCAGGTGCACAGCAGGAGGAAAAAATTCACAGCACATGAGAGAGCGGGGTTCCAGCAGTCCTCTAGTTCCACCCGTTCAGAAATAGGTTAACTCCAGGATATGTCACCATTCCCCTCGTATTCACGGTGCGTTTACCATCGCAGTTGATAAAAAGACCACAGACTGACAAATATATCATAATTATGGACACAAACAAAGGTGTAGTAGAAGTAGGCTTTATGAAAGTATTTAAATTTCGTGGCAAATCTCTGCATCAACATGGGCAGGGAGGCAACTAAATGCCTTGCAGTAGCAATTTCAGTTACCAAACTATTTCTTGGATAGACATTTATTACAGGTAGTTTATCCGTTCCTATTTCTCAAAGAGTTTAAGGCACAAAAGCCTGAAAAGGGCTTATAACATGTACATAAGTGCTATTATTTTCACTTTGACCTCTAATGCAACATAATATTAGCTTAAATATATTGCTTGTCCATCCAGCTTATACAACATCCAGCAGAAAACTGCTTTCCAGGTTAGCAACAATTTGTTGCACAATATATCAATTAGATTGCTCTGACCCGTTTTTGCTGCGAGATCTTCAGTTTCACCATATTCCCTTTGACAGGACAGTGGAAGACGCTATGAAATCTTAAACATCTTAATGAGACCATCAAGGTGTGTCCACGATGAAGAAAGGCATGGTACACAAAATAACATTGAAACAAGGTGGCTGGTAAAAAAGTGTTTTAAACTGCTTGACTGATGGGGAATTTTTTCCTCATACACAGGTGGAGAAGCAAGTCAAACGTGCGGGAGATCACCAGGTAGAAGGCATCCGTCTGTAGTAGTTTTACAACGCTCCTTTCTGTCTTTACTCTCCAAAATGCTCTTCAGGTAGATTGCTTAAGTACCACCGAGCTACAACTTGCTAGCTCAACATCACAGCTTAAGTTAGACAGAACGTAAGCTTTCATCTACAAGGTTCTTTCCCTTACCCAGTCACTAGAAGGCTTTTGAGACATTTTAGTGGTGTCCAACAATGATTTTTTTTTAAAATAACACATTCATGGGAGTTGGATCAAATGACTGAAGACAGTTAAATGGGCAGCAAAACAGAAAGATGGGCAGGAACCAAAATGCAAAGGGTAATTTTACTTAAAAGACCAACTTTTTTATTGTACGTTGGAGTAGAGTCTTTCCCCTGTGCCATCTCGTTGAAAGTTTATAAATTACAATTCCCAATAAGTATTAAGAGTTCATTTCAAGACAAAAGGAATAAAACCGTTGCAGTTCTAATTTTCACCATGAATAAAAGTTACCATGATGCTCCTACGATACTCATTCTGTACAGGAAAGGCCACAGTCCTCCTGTACTTCGAGTAACAGACCTGGGTGGAGAAAGGGCCACCCCTCACTACTGCAGGATCCAGGTGCAGCGTAACAGTCCGGAGTGCACTGGCTTGTCACACAGACACAGTGCCTCAGCAACGAGGCTATAACACGGCCGGAATCTCTGACGAGACAGTGTCCAAAGGCTGCCAATGACAGTCCATCAAGGCATCGTAGAGCTCTTCACTCTGTTCCATAAACTGTTTATTTGCTTCGTGGACGTCTAACTGAGGCGCTGGATCTAAAGGAGGAAAGACAGACAAATAGGTCACGCGCCATAATGGGTGAGAAAAAAACCCACACCCCATAAATGTGTTAGTTTTATTAAAACAAACGTGGGGAAGAGTCACAAAACATTCCCAGCACTTGCCCAATCACCAACCTGACTAGATCAGCCCTAGTAAATCTTTCTGTAATGGGATAAGAAATAACTACATCCAAATATGTCCCTCTTTCCAGTGGTGATTGCCCCCATAGCAGAGTCAACAGAGAGAACGCATACCTGCACCTCGCAGCCCAGTGTAGCCACTTAAACTGCCAAAGAAGGTGGGTTGGCACTAAGGCACCGGACTGCAAAGTGGAGGAGCGGAGGCGCAGGCACACGTTCCGTTCTGCTCCCTCCACTACAGGGTCAGAGTGGATGGCTGGGGACGGTAGCATCCTACGCTGCTGCAACAAGAGTCACCAGAGCTCGTCTGCCAAAGCCTCGAACATCTCAAAGCATTTCACAGTTAGTAATCAAAAAAGTGCCAGTGACACCCAGTGAATTACGTATGAATATGTCCCCTATTTTACAGTTGGAAGGAATGTCTGTAAAGCATTTTGGAGCTGACAGCAACGCAGCCAGTGCAATTCTGCCAACGCACACTTAACATTTTGCAACAATTGACTCATCATATTCCCCAAACCACGTGTAGGATGTAAAGCTCACCTAACAGCACCCACAATCTAAAGCTCAGGTTATCAGAGGAGCACAGTCACATAGGCTGGTCAGAGTGCAATGCAACTGGCTGACTGAATGGAAAAACTACAAAACATACCAGGAATAAAATTCTTGTAAAAAGGTTCAGGTTTAGCTACATCATGTAACTCATCACAGGAGAACAGAATTAAGAAAAAGGAATGATACACTGGCAATACATGATTTCAGTTGCCTACAAACTTCAACATATTAGTTTAATCAAGGAGAAAAAGCCACCCCAGAGATATTCTAACTATAGCACTGGCATGTTAGTTTCAGAGAAAGGAAAGCTCTCCTGTAATGCTTTTAAAAGCTGTTAAGGGCTTTCCCATTGATATCATTACTGATACCTATGGATCCTGTAAAGGATCCAACTGCTTTCTACTTTTACTGTGATTTAAAAATGTTTTTTAGAGAGAAGAGTAAGATACACTACACAGTGCACATTTCAGTCAAGACAGAAATCTGGAACTGCCAGTATGAAATGATTTTTTCTTGCACCAGTAAATGAAAACTGCTTCCATGTATATCTAAAACCCCAATATGGTTTTGTGTCCCACTTCAAGCAATGGCTGCTAAAGCAAATATTTTATCAGTGTGCTAAACTGATATTATTACTTTTTAAAACTAAAAGCAGTGAGGTATTCTGGGCTCTAAATTACAAGATTTTACAGAAAACCAGAATACCTGCATACCAGAAAAAACACTAAAAAAAGATAAAAGTTTGAGTACTACAGGAGATTAGAATCTCAGTGCTAGTGAAGCCAATTAGTTAAATTCTTGACAAGGTTCAGACTAGGAACAGCAACTGCAAAATAAGGATGCAATTGCGCTAGGTGATAGCGACCCACAAATTTTCTCAGGCCTCAGATTTACTCAGAGATAAAGGTATATTATACATTGGAATTACAGGTCAATTTGAGAAAGACTATCTCTAATCAGTGCAGAACAAACAGACAACTTCAATACAGAATTTGAGAAACGTACCTTCTAATGCATCTTCACCAACTTCTTCATATGTCTGCAAGGAAAAACATAATCCTTAGGACAGCAGATATTTATCTTTCCTTTCAAGAACATCACTGTCATATACTGATTTTTATACCTGACTACAGCAGAAGTTTTCAGACATAAGCCCCGTGTACCACTCCCAACGGACTCCACAGGGGAGATCCCACACTAAACTTGTAACAGAGGCAGCAGTTCTTGAAATTCCTGTGGTGGAGCTGGGTGGCTGTCCCCATCTGCTCTATCCTCTAAAACAAGGCTTGTGAAGGATCCCAGAAGGCAGTCGTAGCACTGCCTGTCCGACCGCCCACATCCAGAGAACCCTTCGACCACAACAATCATATTACAAGACCCTTTGTGTCCTCCAGATTTTCACCCCTCCAGTCGCAGCAATACCCCCCACATAAGGCAACAGTACACACCAGGGTCTGCTAAACAGTTTTACTTCCCTATCAAGCAGCTATATTAAGACCCCAGAGCTTGAAGATAACATGTGCCCATCACCATTTCGTAAGCTACGCCGTGTTTCTGTGCTGACCCATCACTGAAGAGTCGTGCTGTCCTACCTGCATTGTGCTCTGCGTGTATCCGTACTGGGGATAGCTGTAGCTGTAACTCCCTGTGTTCTGGTCATAGCCCCACTGGGCATAGTAGTTGTGATATTGTTGGTAATATTGGTTATAATTATAGTTGTACATCTGATTGTACTCCATTGGTTTCACACGATTACTTAAAAAAATAAAGCAGGCATAAGTTGCAAATAATGCAGAAAAATTATGAAAAAAAAAAGCAGTGAAATAGCTTAAGATACAATATGGTACACAGAGAAGCCTTAGTCTAACATGCAAACTTCAGTCTTTAAAATATATTCACTATTTACTGCAGCAGTATTTATCATTTGCATACATTTGCAGAAAGAACGAAGTGGTTTAAATTTAATGCCCTTTCCTGTATTCATATTCATCTTCATTAATAAACATTGCTTTCATTCTTTATGAATTAATTTAGTATCACTTCCTGGCTTTGGAAAGGGAAAAGTTCAGGACTATGAGCCTCAGTTTAGAATAATCCTGAACCACGATCCAGATTCTTGGGTCCCTTTTTCCTTCTGATAAATAGGATGAAGTTAAATACTCTGCAGCTTCCTGAGATAAGGCACTGAGCCTTGCTTTGCATGAAGAGTTAAAGACTTAGAGCCTTGCAAAAAGAACTGGGGTTTTCTTTAGTAAGAGTGGACAAAAACCTCTCCCTCCTGCCACTACCACACCAAAGCCTATGCAATGACTGGTTGTCCCCATTCCCACCAAACTGGGTGATCTTCAATGGACAGAGTTGGAAGAGCTCATGAGATAAAAGGACTACAAGTGACTAAAAAAATAAACTTAAATAGCCTGTGAGCTGACTAAAATTTGCATTCCCAAGGAACTGGGAATCTGATTATCAAGATTTGAAATAATGAGATGACAAATATTGTTTGAAAATGAAAATACGTCACACAAAGCTATGTCTAATGATGAAATTAGTGAGAAGTAGGAAGAAAGAAAGATCAATCTTCTCACCACGATACACCCCCTTTTTCTGCTTTTCTCTTCCTTATCCCCCCAAGACTTCTGAGGTCACTGAAAATCTAAATATTATTCAAATAGGGAGCAATTACTATTATTCGTATTACCCTAGTGCTACGAGCCCCAAGTCAGACCAGGATCTCATTGTATCAGGTTCTGAACAAACACAGAAAAAAAAGTTAATCCCTGCCCCAAAAGACTTATATTTAGTAGACATTATAAAAGAATTAGCAAGGTAATTGAGCTTTGCTATCCAGAAATCAATAAACAGACTTAGACTATTTCAATTTAATGCAAAGGAACATATAGTTTAAAAATAATAATATTTAAGTACAGTGTGTGTACGTGTGTGTATTTAATAATGTATACAATTAAAAACAGTGTAAAATTCTTAGTCTTGACCTAAGGTTATAATTGTTTTGAATTCCTGTGCATTCTGATACACTAGCTACTTAACTATATTCTTGGGTATTCCTTCACTTTGTGATGGAAACATCCAGGAAATGTACCCAAACCACTAAAAGACATTTAACAATACACGTGATTTCACATGACAGTGCTCTTATATAAACGTCTGGCTGCTCTTATACTCACGCTTTTGGTATAGCCACACTCAAGCGTACAGGTTTAGAGCCCAACCCCACAGCTCCTTGACACTCCGTCAGTGCTCTTTTCTGTTCCAGTTCATCTGTGAATTTCACGAACCCGTAACCTCTGCAGAGACACAGAATAACTTAGAAAACAAAAAAGCCACGCCGCTTAAAAAAAAATAAATATTTACAGCGAAGTCGAAATTGGTTTTGAAAAACACAACAACCGAAACACTTTCGTTAAGGCTCTCCGCTGCTTTTAGCAGAGATTCAACGATCCTGTCTTCCAGTTGCTTCTGCAAAATGCTTGAAACCAAACGGCCAAGCTTTGGCAGTGCTTGCAAGGGCTTCACAAAAGTAAAGTACATCTTGTGCCAGTGGATTCTGGGGAAGCGAGCTGACACAAGACATGTTGAAACCCACGAACAGACAGTAGCAAAGCCTCAAATCTATACTGGGAGGATACAGATAATCTAAACAGTTGCAAGTCAGCACAAGATTGACAAGACATAGGCACTGTTTGTATCCCTAACTGCCCCTCTGTGAAGGAAAACATTGTTTTCCTGTAGGATCAACCTAGATACGCTTTCCATTTGTCCTTTTTTCAACAGGAAAATATTCCAACAGGCTTTCTGCCATTCCTAGCAACAGCACGGCCCCGTCAGCATTCTCAACAGTGGACCTGAAAATGAGCTCTTAACGTCAAGCTGCTAAAACCTGCTCTGACAGCACAACCTGAGCAGGGCTAGCACACAGCCAGCAAGCCCTCGACTCCGTAGCAAGGCTTTTAGCAGTGCTGTACGTCAGCCAGCCGGAAAATACCAATTCCCCTTCAGCCCCAAAGGTCCTTTGCGTGGGATTCTGATGCTGTAGTGAGTCAGATGCAATGCAACAGCATCCAAAAGGGCAGTGCCAGGATCCCAAGATGGGATGGGCTGCCTCACACAGCAGAAAGATCAAAGACTTAGGTGTGGGAGGGAAAGAGGAATCCATCTAGGCGAAGGAAGGAGTTTGGGAGGGAAAGGGCTTGTCTACCTGGGGAAAAGAACGAGCTGTAAGCAAGGGTGTAAATTTACAGCAGATTATCTATTCTGTGGGAACTCTTAAACACCAAGTAACATACTATTTTGAAAGTGGCATCACCTAGTACTTGTAGTAGGTCCGCACTAGAAGCTATTGGAGAGCAGTTTGTGCCCCATAAAATGCAGTATCTTGCACAGCAAACTCTACACACAAATCCAAATACATATTTTTATACATGTGTGTATGTGTACTTCTCACATACAGAAGATCAAATCAAAGCTCAGGCCTATCTATACACAAACTGGATAATTAAGCAAGAGCAAAACTCTACATGGGTACACATTCTGTTTAACTCGCTCCCTGCAAAAGGACTATGGCAAATTAAACCAGTGCAAGTCAACTTTTAGATCAGTTTAAGTCAGTTTTAGGTGTTTGCACACAAAAGTGTGTAAGTTTCTAAGCTGCCACAAAGATTTCTCCAGCCTTTCGGATGGGACCAGGAGTAAGTGAAACCGGGAGTACTGGCAGTTCCAAAATAGAGATGGACAGATAAAGAGTTGTGTCTAGTGTATAGGAATAGATGTTGGGTGCAGCAAGGGAGACAGTGATTGTCCCGACTTTTTCAGACACATTTTTTTCACATCAATGGCTAAACCAGATTTTAGTACAGAAGAAAACCCACCAAGAAATCATTTCTTTGTGGCCAGGACCTCCCTGGCAGACATTCTGTCCTGTCCCTGCAGTTAGGAGAAGCCCCCAGCCTGCACCCACAGCAGAAGGCAAAGAAGGAGGCACAGCACCTCGGCAGCAGGCTCCAAGTTCCTCTCTTGCCTGGACAAGAGGTGCTGGGAGGAGGCCTTCCTCATCTACCAGCCCTGTCTGGAAGGGCCAGGGCTTCACCAGGCACGTCCACAAGCCCCAACCTCCTCTCTCACATCACACTAACATTTGCAGTTGCCTCAGCTTTGGGTAACTGTACAAGTCACAACAAAGCCCCTGGCAGCAACACCCTGGCCCTGCTAGGGGAGATCGCTGTGCTCTTCCCAGCCATAGGACTTCAAGTCCCTGCTCCATCCCCACTTCCCAAGCTACCACAGATTGCCTTTCCTTGAGGTCTGCACTTACAGACAGTTCCCAGAGCCCAACAAATGGCCCAAGCTGCATCACCCAACACCTATTTTGTAGGTGGAGATTGAAGCAGGTGCAGCAAAACAAAAGCTGCTGGGTTTACACCTCTGAGGAGGAGGAGGAGGCAGCCAGAGCCCACCCCGGCAGTGCTGGTCCCAGGTGAGGTGGCAGTAACAGCATGAGCAGTTGACAGCCAGAGAGTGACAAAGCAGCTCTGCAAAAGGTTCAGGTTGCCCATGAAGAAATTCATTACTAGGAGCTCTGGAACAGGCTGCCCAGACAGGTTGTATTATCTCCATCCTGGGAGGTTTTCCTACATGATTCATGGCCAGCCTGATCTAGTGCTGGCCAGTCCTGCTCAGAGCAGGAAGTTGGACCAGAGACCTCCAGAGGTTCCTTCAAACCAGCATGTCTAAGATTGAGAAAACTTCTGTGAGAAAGAGAAGAGATCTACAGCCATATTCTACATCTTACCACAACATTCTGTTCTGAAGCCACATTCTGTTTTGAAAACAAGGATGCTCACCAACTGGTCCCTCTTCAAGGAAAATAGTTTCATTTTCTGCTATTTAGGAAATGTTTTAATAATATTAGGAAATTTGACTTTTTGACTTTGGCAAGACATTTCCAGTAAAGATGAACAAGGTGGCTACTAAGTACCTGACAATGAATCATAGCTTTGCTCTACCCTATTTGAAACAAAAACCTGTAAAGCTTTCACAGGAATACACACTCAATAGCCTAAAAACTGTAAAAGCACAAATCCACCTGAAAGTCCAGGAAGACAGTGTTTATTTAGACATTTCTGAGCATTTTCAGAAGTGCAATAACATACTCCCAACACACAAAGGGGATCACACTGACAGAGAAGTGACGATACGCTGTGGTGACTATCAAACCCCAAGCATACTGTAGACTGAATGTCCAAGAACACTGCATTTTAAGATTACTAAAATCTAAGCTGATATAACTAATTTTTTTTCCCCCTTGTTGCATTATATCTATCCTGTTGCTGCATGTGAAGTGAAAGAAACGAATAATAAAAGATGACTTACTTGGATACTCCTGCCTGGTCCAAAACAACTTTTCCACCTCTACACGATGGATAAACTTTTACAAAAAATTCATATAACATGCCATCATCCACATCAGGAGTCAAGTCTCCCACAAATAGTGAATATTCTGGACTAAAAAAATCAAAAGAAAACTTCTTAAGTGCAATCACAGAGAAAAAGAGGCACACTGAGCGACAGCTAACATTTAGCCGAAACATTTGACTTCAGAGAAAAGAGATTATTAAAAGACCATTTCATAGATACTTTACAGTGTCACCAGTTAAGTTGCTTAGGCAACTCAAAGTTTTATTGACACTGCTTTTTCAAGTTAATTCAAGCAGCACAACCAATCTACTCAATACTGCTTTTCATTTAAAGATAATTTCATTGCTTATTTCTCACGGAATATCTCTGGATTCCAAACATGACAAGAAAACATGAATGTCTCATTTATAGATTTATATTTCCAATATATTGATTTAAATTATAATATACGAATTAGATACCTTGATGCTACAAAGTTTAAATACCTTAAAAGACACTCCTGACAAATCTGCCGTGCCATACAAAAGGAAAAGCATAAAACCAACAGGCAGTCTAAGTTATCCCCCCTCTGCTAAAGACTGGCAATGACCTTGTGGGTTTACATATTTTGAATACTCTTTGCAAGGCAATTGATAAAGAGACATTAAGCAGGCAAAACTAATATTTAAATATTGAGCATTTACCTGTTATCAGGCTGTTTTCCATACGTTGCATAATTCAATTTAAATCGCTTTGCCTGAAACAAGGCAAAAATGAATCCATACATTCAAATGTTCTCATGTGAATCCCAACAATTTGGAAAAAATATGATAAGCTGATTTTACACAACTTTCTTAATGCTGACAGATGTTCAGTGGCATCAGGGCAGCCACTTAAGGTATCAAGGACAACACTTATATTTGAAATACAGCTATTATATAATAATGAAAATCAGCAAAGAACCTGTACCAAGAGGTCTGGCTTATCTTTATTTCAACAGTTTATAAAACTACTGAGAGACAGGTGAACCTTACATAGCACCAAATTTGTGTACCTTTAAAAAAAGACAGGAAAACAGAGGTACTAACAACAAATATTAAATGACTTCTAATTTTAAGGTCTTAAAATGAAATGACAGCACGGACCATTGGACGTTTATGATTTACACGAATACTGGCAGACCAGAATCCACCAGAAAATGGAATCAATCCCTGAGTCTGGAAGTATGGCTAAATACTTTGCTCCGAATGATGTGCTCATTAGTAAGATCTCAAATTAAGGTTTTTTAGAAAGAATTACCTGTCATTGGACACTGAAGGCCTCCCTAAACTTTGCACCTGATTTTATTTTTTAAACAAGTTTCCCAGGAGCCTAAATTTGTGCCCGCTGGCACAGCTGGAACTCCCCACGCTCCATCCTACCAGGGTTCAGCAACTTGGGCCCAAGTCACATTTAAGTCTAGACCAAGATCTAAGGAGCAGGTGATCTTCTGCCTCAAAATGCCGAGGGTCTCAAACCCACGGGCATCCTTATACGGTGCTTAGCACACAGTGACCCAAGCAGGCTCACTGCAGAGTGTGATGGCAATTGCTATTTTCTTCCGAGGCATGTCTGACAGTGGAAGAAGCCAAGGGTTGCACTCCTTTGCAAGAACACTGGTATCCAAACTCATCCAGACAGTGTAAGACCTAAGCTGGATTCCCCTGTCAGCTTGAGGGGCTTAAAACCCAATTTTCTATTACCCAACAGGCTTCCAAAGCAGATATCCCTCTGCACTATACAGTGGCACAGCAAGAATTTAAGGGGAATTTAGCCAAAGCAAGTCCATAACCTAGAGATCAGGACATTTGTTTCATATAGAGGAGAGCCGAGTGTGCTCCTGTACCTCGTATGATGTATTTTCTTCCCTCAAAGATAGCGTAAATAATTCTTGGGAAATAGAGCAAAGACTTAACTCTAGGCTATAATCATGTTCCTTGCATGCTTGCGTTCACTGGTGCACAGTGGTACACAACTCCTTCTGCAGACCATTTGCAAGCTAACACAAAATTTAGATTCTGCTTTGAAGCACTTTCATCTTTTTTTGGATCTCACTCTTCACTGCAATGTTTTGGGTTTAAAATCAGTGAGAGAGCTGAGAGTACTTCCACTCAAATGGGAACTGGGGACACACTAATTCTCTAAAACAGAGACAGCAACAGCACCATGGCTCTCTGTTATTCCCGTGGCTGATTCAGTATTTAAAAATAAATAAAAGAGTAAGCCTTGCTCAGTTTTCCGTAAAAAGTATCTAACTGCAAGAGATGAGCTGGACAGTTGCCTGCTGAGCGCACTGATTTAGGCTGCCTACACTGGATCTGTGTCTGACATCTGTAATACTCTCCGTGTGTTACGTAAACCATCCCCCTACACAACACCGGTTTGAATTAAACTGTGCATAAAGATGGGCATTCCCGAAACCAGACTTCTATTATTATATTACTCCTCGCCAGAGCTGCTCTCTTTCTCTAGTGACTACAGAAGGCCTCTAGGAAGATTAGTTTCCCTTAATCATGGGCTCTGATTTGCATATTAAACAGGACAGGTGAACAGACACCTCCAGGGCTCTCATCTACCCCTTTAACAGGGACGCCATCCTCTCAGGAAGGTTGACCAAACAGTTCAACCTGAACTTCCCAGTTTCCTACGCAGGGTGTTAACTACACCGAGATAGGCATCAATTTACCTTACTATATCACACCGTAACTGAGGTGATTCTAGAGCTGCTTTATGACCCAGTCATCCCAGAGACTGCAGCCAACTTCTGTGGGTACAACGGACAGCTGTGTCAGCCATCCCATTTTAATCTACTACACATTCGAGTCAACATCCTAAAATTAGCCTCTCTGACGACTATTCCTCCTCTTCTTCCTAACTACCTAGCTTTTATGTATCCGAGACATTTGTTAGGTGTTGCAATTATACAATGGTCTAGCTCTTTCCCCACTGTAAATAGGTTTGAATAACTTTTGTTTGCTAAGGGCCAAGAACAACGCAAGGCTTAAAAGTCATGTTTCTCTCACAAATCAAAGTTACTCAAAAGTTGCAAGTTGCCCTTGTACATATGTAACAACATACACACTGTAACAAATTAATACAGAACTACAAAAGGAGAGAGACAGAAGGACTGAGGTAGGTATACTCAATCTGTGTTTTTCTTGCTCTTCTCTGGTTTTTCATTAGACCAACTCTGGTAAGAACAGAAAGGCTCAGAAATAAAAAAACACACCACGGCTTTTCTATACCTGGATTTTATCCAGACACACAGAAATTCATATAGAAATTAGTGGGCTTTTTTCAGCAATTTTCTGAGTAAGAGCATTCACAGGTTTATGTTCATTAAAGAAAAGTAAAATCCCAGTTTGCTAACTACTGAATTTGTCTGTAGTCATATAAATCTATCTATTCCTTTTGGTTTCCAATTTTGGTTTCCAACTGGCTGATTTAATTTACTTACCGGTGTAGCACCAGGAAGCGGTTTTCCATTGATTTTGTGTAAACATTTCTCTGCAGTAGCTAGATCTGCAAATTCTACAAAGCAATAGCCTGCTGGAATTCTGAACATACGACACAGGAGAGGAGAGAGAAAGATTTCAGATTTGAAACACATTTGAGGAAGAATATTACATTTTTAGATAACTGGTAGGAAATTTGCTAAAGGTGCAATACTTAGAACAATTTATTTTTCAAAGTATAAACATTAGCTACCAAAAGAAGCTATTAAAGTAATCTTGGATCACAAGTGATAGCCCCTACTTACCAGTAAGTCACGTCAATATAAGCACATCGAAAACAGTTTTGCTCACAATTAGTTTACTTCCTACTTTCATCGACTATAAATTTTCCCACTGAAGTCTAAACAATTGAAAACTGAAATTACAACATTTACAAGAATATGAAACTATTCTATGTGCAGTCACTCACTTTATTCCAAGTGAACTCAAAAGGTTCTCATATTGCTCTTTCTAAGTCAGACTTCCTGCTCCTGCCAGCATCCCGTAGCTGCATTAGTGCAACGATTAACACAGAAAAGTCAGCGAAGCTTTCAGCCCAGGAACTGGAATTCCCAGAGGGACCGAATGGCACACACGGGCCGCTCTGAATGAGTGCTGAGGCACTGCAGGATGAGGGCCAAGCCTTGGTTTGTCGATGTAGTGGTCGAAGAACCAGCGACTGTCCTTGCCATTGCTATCATCAATATACCCACATTGTTGGCAGCAATGGCGAGAAGCTCAAAGGGAAAACATCTAATACGAACAGCGATGCCATGCAGAGGCCAAACAGTTCAATGCAAACACACTGGTAGAACAAACTGAGAACAAGCATAAACAGTTACCCTGTCAACCTGTTTCGAATGATTTTTACACTCAGTACAAGCTCTCCCATGGTGGCAAAGGCTCTTGAAACAAAGTTTTCATCCATATATGGCTCCAGCTATAAAAGCAAAAAAAGAAGTTAGACCAGAGCATCTACAAAAAGGAGAATATATTGTGTCAATGTCACCCTAAGCAGTTAAAACATGATTGAGAAGTATTTTACCCTTACACTTCAAAAAGAAGACTCATTTAAGAGGGTCGATGCCACTCAAAACCAGCAGGCATGCATGAACCAGGCTCAACAGTCTGCAAAGTGGAACCCAAGAGACAGCATGAATTTCAGAGAACAGGGAGCTTTCACAGAAGGACAAAAGCCACTCAGAAACATACAGCAACAAACTGAGCGTTCACTACACGGAGCAGGGGGTAAGGAGATGGCAGGCTCCTTCTCTGTATGTGAACGGCAGTCGGCCAGTGCTACCGATACACCGGCACGGCACAGCCCGGGGTGCTGTGAGGAACGGGAGGCACGTGTCAGGTAACACAGCCCCCATCGAGCTGGGCCGGGGGTTTGCAGAGCCCTGTCTAGCTCGCATAACCGTGGAGATACGCAGGGCAGCACCGGGAGGGGAGACCTCTAACCGCGTCCCACAGTAGGTCTGAGCTTTGTCCTGCACGCGAGTGCACCGACCGTGTTTATGTCACAGGGGAGAGGGTGGCACTGTGCGTGTCAGAGCGTGTGTCACGTGTGGGGCAGTGGCACTGAGAGTGAACACGCTGGAGGGCAGGTGTCTGTACGGCGTGACTGCAAGTATGAAGTGGCACTGCAGTTTGGACCAAATGTGTGACGAAGGGGCTGAGGGAAAAGGATGCCTCTGTGTGTAACAGAAAATGAAGGAGGGAACTAAGTGAAATGAAAAGTTTTGTGCAATGTGGGGAGCGCTGCATGTGACAGCTAACACAAGGCTGGGCTGTGGGGTAACACACAGAGTTCCATATAGATAAGTACCTGTAAGACAGATGGCCTCGTGGTAGCTGACAGCCCTTGGGCGCGTTTGTGTGTCTGTCAGGTACCAGGTGGCTCCGTCCCTTGTGCGCGTGACAGAATGTGCAGACTCAGGCAGTATCTGATAGCGAGTGACCGTATTGCACTCGCACGTGCAAAAGGTGGCAGGTGCCCTGCAGAGGTGTGAGTGTGAAGCAGAAACGGCTCCGTTAATGGGCCAGAAGCAGGAGGCAGCACTATGCTGTACAGACGTGCCAAGCAGAGGGTGATCCCGTGGTGTGTGCGCACAGGAGAGCCAGACTCATGAAGGCAACAAGGTGACTGCTGCTTGGATATGTGTTTCAGAGGGCTGTGGCCTGCTTGTGAGAGGTGACTGAAAAGGATGGCCTTATGGTGGAGAGGTGGTAGATAATTCTCTGTGTGGGGAAAAGGAGACAGGAGACTCCATGGAGTCTGCCTGCAGGAGTGGCGGGCAGTGGAAGACTCCCTGATGTGCCAGTGTGTGTCTGCGCAATGCAACGGCAAACCCGGTGTGTGTGAGTGTGTGTATGAGAGAAGCACCCAGTGTGATCCTCGGTGTTGGGCTGTGTGTACACACACACACCTGAGAGAGCCTGAGGAAGACTTACAGGGTGCATGGGTGTGTGTGCGAGCAGGACTATGCAATATGCTGGTGTGAGTCTGTAAGAAAGGGGCTGGAGTAAGATGTGTGTGTTAGGGTTAGACATGTGTGCAAGTAACAGGCGATGTGGAAACTGTGATGTGCTGGTGTACCTGCATATGCCCATCTGCTGTAGGCAAGCACATGGCACTACGATACAGTGGTGGGATTGTGTACGTGACTGTGTAGAAGCAGCAGACAGCGCAGACACTGTGGCACAACATGAGCACAAACAGACAGGCATGTGTGGGTGGCAAAGCCCTACAACATGCTGGGTGTGAGTACACATACGTGAGTGTGTATGAAAGTGCGTGTGTACAGTGGCAAGCGGTGAGGGACACAGGTGTGTGAGTACGAGGGTGTATGCAGCGTGGGTGAAGGGCAGGCAACAAAGAACATTGTGGGGTGTGCATCACTCTGTGAGTGTGCCCACAGTGTGCACGTGAGCAGCTGGAGAGGGACACCCTAGGGTGAAGGAGCATCTGTGAGTGTGAGCGTGCTGCCAGGTGTCCGTGCAGGCAGGAATGAGGGAGATACTGGGGTGTGCAAATGCTTATGAGTGTGTCTGTGTGTAGGAGGGCACAAATCCTTGTCAGTGTGTAAGTGCACCCACAGGTGTGCATGTGTGGGGGGCTGCTAGTGAGAGATAGATGCATACAAGCACGTTAGTGCAAATAAGTGCCTCTGTGAGCACAAGCGCGTGAGCCCAGCAGCACAAGTGTGAGCGTGTGAGTGTGCAAGCGCCTCAGAGTGTATCACCGTAAGCAGGTCAGTGCCTACAAGCACATGAACACATAAGCCAGCACATAAATCCTAGAAGCATGCAAGTGTACAGGCTTGTGGGTGTGTGAGTGTGTAAGCGCCTAACAGAGCATGAGCACAAAGGTGTGAGAACACACCAGTGCCCACGAGTGTGTCTGCCCACCAGCGTGAGCACAGACAGCACAGGACACTGGTGTAAGTGCCACAAGCGTGTCTGTGACCCCAGCTGTGGGCAGGCAACATGGGTCACTCTGTGTGTGTGTGTGTGTGTCTAACTGTGTCTGTGAGTGTGTAACCGCTCACAAACGTGCCTGCTGGGCTGAGTGAGCATCTCTGAGTGTGTGCTTGTGTGTCAGCCTGGTTGAGCGTGCGTGTCAGCCTGCCAGCGTGCTCAGGAGAGAGTGTGCGTGAGAGTGTCAGTCAGTTCGGGAGTTTCTGTCTGTGTCAGAGTGTGTGAGGGCCCGTGAGGCTGTGTCGGTGTGTGAGGGTGTCGGTGCGAGGGTGCGTCAGTCAGTGCGAGGGTGTCAGTCAGCCGGTCGGTCGGTGTGAGGGTGTCAGCCGGTGTGACGGTGTCAGCCGGTGTGAGGGTGCCAGCCGGTGTGACGGTGTCAGCCGGTGTGAGGGTGCCAGCCGGTGTGACGGTGTCAGCCGGTGTGACGGTGTCAGCCGGTGTGAGGGTGCCAGTCGGTGTGAGGGTGTCAGCCGGTGTGAGGGTG